GTAACCCTGCTTTCCAGGACATCTATAGAGAGCTTTGTGCTGTTGAATTATGTGAATTGCATTTCCAAAATATAAAACCAATAAGGCCATATAATAAGAGCAGAATAGCAAAATAACACAAACACTAAAGCAATCTCATTGTGACTAACTGATGTGTGCTTTATAGGGGAGCCAGGGGCTAGATGTAACACTTTGTACTTCAGGAAATATTTTTCTCTGGGCAGATTTCTATTTGAAAGATAATTTCTATATAGACCGTTACCTTTTAGTTACTATAGTGGGGCATGTTGTCACAATAACAATCTGCTGGTAACTGAAACCGCTATCTATAATTTATCTTTTTATGTGAGTGTGTCAAACATCTTTGTTTTGGACAGCAGAAACTGCAACATGACTTTATTTATTTATTTATTTTTATTAAAAGGCCTATTGTGATTTTATTTTTTGCATTGTTATTTTGTTTTGATGGCAAATAAAAACATTTGCGCTCTAAATTCCTAAAATGTTTTTGATATTTTACATATTAATTTGTTTAAGTATATTATATATATTTCAATCATGACAACTCTCGGAACATTTTATGTATAGCCAGAATGCACTGTAAGTCGCTTTAGATAAAAGTGTCTGCTAAATGCATAAATTATTATTATTATTATTATTATTTAATTCTTGTAAATGATGTACTATGCCAAATTAATTTGAAAGAAAATAATTTAAATGGAGCATTAACGCAAAGAAGAGTATAACTGCATACTCAGGTTTATTATACCGTAAACAAATGTGTGCAACAAATACTATCATGACAAATAATTACAATTTAAATAATTTTACATAAAATGTATCAGTTATATCAGTTTTTCAGCTATATTTTCATTGCAATTATTTATATTTTTATGCAGTTATTTATTATTTATATTAATTATATTTATATTGTTTGCTTTTTGCATGAAAGTTGTTGCACACACACACATGCACACGCGCACACACACACACACACACACTGTAAGTTTGAACAAAAGACTTCATATTACAGTTTTTTTTTACAATCACTGGGACACATTTCTCAATACTAAAGTCACTTTTTCAAAACTCTTCACACAGTTCTCCTAACCATCTTTCAACTTGACACAGCAGTTAATTTCAGATTCAAAATCCACTAAAACTACCAAAACACTTCATTACTGTCTCAAATTAAGGCATTCTTAACTAACCCTAGCAAAGGTTTTCACCAAACACACCTTATCACACATAACACAACAACCTAAAAAACGCTAACAGGTAACATTATACAATGTTTTTTTTTTGTTTGTTTTTTTGTAAAATTTATTTACAAAACAAGAACGATACTCTCTACTGTTCATAATTCACTGCAGTATATGTTACATGGTCCATGTTTACATTTATAGTACAAAATTATTCATAAGTTTTCCCTTTTTATAGATGGTAAGGAAAGTGAAAGACTAATGTAACACTTGTGAAGATGTTCAGCTGCATGCAACTGCTTTGATAGTATTCAATTTTTTTACATTCAGAATATTTTTCTATATGTTATTACTGTAGAAATATTGCAAATTTCTGTCTTATTCATTTTTGTACTGCGCTAGATTTTTAACTTACTGTAAGTTTAACAGTTTTGAAAACAGAATGTAAACATGTGCAAATTGGCTTGTATAGTACAGAAAGTTTTGGTGGAGTTTGTGTCAAAGTGGTAAAAGAATTCAAGTATTTTGACAAATGTAGTCAATGAATGCATTTTGTGCCAAAACAATGATAAATGATTCACAGTTTAGCCCACATAGACTGATGTTGTGCACGCTGTGTGAAGAGTTTTGAAAAAGTGGCCTTAGTATTGAGAAATGTGTCCCAGCGATTGTAAAAAAAAACCTGTAATATACAGACCTTATGATAACTTTCCCATGTGACAACTACCCTCGCTTGCTTTTCTCAATGTACATATTTATTGTTTATAAATCTGATCGGAACATCCCAGAATTCTCATTGCTCAGTTTATTCACGAACAAAGGCAAATACTGCCCCGCGCGGCCCGTGAAACGTTTGATTGGTGGGATGCAGTCAGGTGATCAGCGTTAGAATTCCAAGCAGTCGTTGTCGACACGGTGACTGGGTAACCAGAGCGCCGAGATTAAAGTCATTTGGATCTGAATGGCTGCTATAGTTTCCTGGATAAAACAGTAATTTAATCATTGAATGAGAATGCTTGCGCAGGCCATGTGTGTAAACACAATTGCTCAAGGGAAAGGAGATTGAGAATTCTCAGTGTGCGAGCTTTAATCGCCAAAGTGGAGCTTTTCCAGCCTTTATATTTCCCTCCAAAATGACTGAAGCCACTTACAGTGCGTTTGTTGCCGTTGCCTAACCGCAAGTCAGTCGTCGGAGAGCTATTATGTATATTTCTGCATATTTTGTTTTGTCATTTGCGCTTTACTTTAGCACCTCATGTGATTTCGAGCCTTCTGTCTCTATGACGCTCTGCGGGGGTTTAAAAAGATGGTGTGCCAAAGGTGAGACAGAGGGATTTTCCTCTTTCAAAAGCCGCACAAAGCGACAATAAAGCAATTCATTACAGAACACACATCCCAATGAACCAGCATTTTACTCTGTGTATCAAGCCCACACGACACAATTGGATCCCTTCTTCTAAAAAGAGGAATTAGAGCATTGGATCCCTAGTGTTTTTCATCCTTCTCCCCCTTTCTGTGTATGTTTAATGACAGCTGGGAATTCGCTCTGACCCAGCCCCTTTACAGAGAGAGCTAATTAGCAGGTTTCCTCCTGTCTGTGGTGCCACCAGATGGATTCCCAGAATGCAACCGGCCAATGTCAGTGAGCAGGGCTTCGCAGGTGGATCCAGTAGACTGGGACTGCCTGGAAACGGACTTCTGCACTGCCCACCAGAATCCTACTAACAATTTCAGTGTGTTTTCCAAGCCTTGTGAATTGTGAGGTCAAAGATTTATTATACTGCTAATTATTGTTTTACAGGCAATCAGGAGGGTGTAAAATAATTGTGGATCGATGCATATTTAATGAATGTCTATTAGTCGAGTCAAGTCACCTTTATTTCTATAGCACTTTATATGATACAGATTGTGTCAAAGCAGCTTCACAGAGATAAACAGGAAAACAGCAGAATCGATTATGCAAATTCAACAACAGGACAGTTCAGATTCCACTGTAAAGCAGCTCTAAAAGATGATAAACCTTAGTCAGGGTAGCGCCATATTTAGTTTTTGACAGGAATGAAAACGAGGTTGTAAGGGCTAGAAGCGCAGTGCGTTCAATAGTCTGTATTGTCGTTTAACAACATGCCGATTGTTCAGTTGACGAAATGACTTCCCTAAACAAATTTCAGTCGAGTAAAACTCCATAAAACAGTTTTGAAAGTTGTGAATTGTGAAAATGATGTGATATAGGACCTTTATACACTACGTGTCATTGTAAAGACTGTAAAATCACTCACAGTCTCGTGTTAAAGGGGTCCTGTTATGCCCTTTTACAAAGTCTTAAAGGGATACTCCACCCCAAAATGAAAATTTTGTCATTAATCACTTACCCCCATGTCGTTCCAAACCCATAAAAGCTTTGTTCGTCTTCGGAACACAATTTAAGATATTTTGGATGAAAACCGGGAGGCTTGTGACTGTCCGATTGACTGCCAAGTAAATTACACTGTCAAGGTCCAGAAAAGTATGAAAAGCATCATCAGAATAGTCCATCTGCCATCAGTGGTTCAACAGTAATGTTACGAAGCGACGAGAATACTTTTTGTACACGAAGAAAACAAAATTAATGACTTTATTCAACAATTCGTCTCCTCTGTGTCTCTCCACATCACCGTAGCGCCATTTTGTAGAATATCGGCTGAACACAAACTGCGTACGCTCTTCTGTGTCAGCTAGCCGCGCTGCGCGGATGCGCTGTTTTCTTTCAAATCAAAGCGTAAATACACGCAGAAAACATAACCTTGTGCCGTGGCTGACACAGTATAGCGTACAAAGTTTGCGTTCAGCTCATATTCTCCAAAATGGCGCTACGGTGATGTGGAGAGACACAGAGGAGAGGAATTGTTGAATAAAGTCGTTATTTTTGTTTTCTTCGTGTACAAAAAGTATTCTCGTCGCTTCATAACGTTACTGTTGAACCACTGATGGCAGATGGACTATTCTGATGATGCTTTTCATACTTTTCTGGACCTTGACAGTGTAATTTACTTGGCAGTCAATCGGACAGTCACAAGCCTCCTGGTTTTCATCCAAAATATCTTAAATTGTGTTCCGAAGACGAACAAAGCTTTTATGGGTTTGGAACGACATGGGGGTAAGTGATTAATGACAAAATTTTCATTTTGGGGTGGAGTATCCCTTTAATTTGGGTTTTTGGATGTACTAGAATAGTTTTCATGCTTGATTGTTCCAAAAACCTTTCTATTTTACATCCTAGTCTGTCTCGAACTCGCTTTTTAGTTCCTGTTTCGATGAAGCTCCTTCTTCCGAAATACCGATTGGTTAGCTGGCCCAGAGCGTTGTGATTGGCTAACCCCTTAGAGAGTGTTCTGGAAATGTCACACCCCTTACCATAACAGCGACAGGGCAACAACACACTACTAAAGCCTACTTAAATATTGTAGAAACTTAAATTGCTGTAAAGTTGCTTTGCAACGATTTGTATCGTAAAAAGCGCTATACAAATAAACTTGAATTTAATTGAATTGAATTAAAGCAGCTCTACTTATTCAACAACTTCTTCTTCTTGGGCAGTCGTGGCTTAATGGTTAGAGAGTCGGACTTGCAACCTGAAGGTTGTGGGTTCGAGT